GCAGAGCATGCATACAGAAAACCAAACTAGATTCAGATTAAGAAGTGAAAATTCATGAAAGAAAAATCAATATTTTAAAATATGGAGATGACACATCATACTCACAAAAAGCAGCAACGACTTGGAAAAACTTTTAATGCAAGTGAAAGAAGAAAGTGCCAAAGCAGGACTGTAGCTGAATGTAAAGAAGATGAAAATCATGACTACAAAAGGACTAGTTTACACAGCTTTAGCATTGATAGTGAAGAAACTGAAATAATTTTAGAAGAAGTTACTCTGTGCTAGCATATCAGACAAAAACAAAAGAAAAAAGAATACAAAATTGTTGTGGCATATTATAGACTAACTGCCATATTTTATGGTTGTTGTGGGTTTTTTGGGCTCTTTGGCTGTGTTCTGAAGGTTGTTCTTCCTAACGTTTCGCCAGTCTCTATGGCTGGTATCTTCAGAGGACAGCACTCTGTGCTCTGATGTAGTTTGTTTGGGAGTTGAGTATTTATGGCTGTGAGATAGGCTTTTGTCCTTTTCAGGAGATGGGTGATTAGTGTGTCTTGTTGTGGGTGTATTGTTGTGATAAGGAGGAGAGATTATCTGTCCTGTGATTGATGGGTGTCATTAGCTGGTCTTTTGTGTGTAGTGATCCCCGGTCCAGCACCAGCAGAACTTCAACAAAAAAGAGTAAAGTTTGAAACTCAACAAAACTTGACTCCCAATTCTGAAAAAATACAGCGTGCAAAATATCAACGAATTCTACCCAGCCACAAGGACTGCAAGGAGATCAAACCTATCAATTCTGAAGGAAATCAGCCCTGAGTGCTCACTGGAAGGACAGATCCTGAAGCTGAGGCTTCAATACTTTGGCCATCTAATTAGAAGAGAAAACTTACTGGAAAAGACCCTGATGCTGGGAAAGAGTGAAGGCAAGAGGAGAAGGGGACAACAGAGGACGAGATGGCTGGATAGTGTCACCGAAGCTACCAAAATGAATTTGACCCAACTCTGGGAGGCAGTGGAAGACAGGAGGGCCTGGCGTGCTCTGGTCCATGGGATGACGAAGAGTCGGACATGACTTAACGACTAAACAACAACAAGTAGGAGGAGACAGAAGAATTTACTATTTTTGTGACATTAGTCACTACCTTGTTTATATTCCTATCTCCTTATTAGAACCATGAATAAGACAGCTATGTCCTGCATCAGCTGAAGTTTCCA